CATCTCTTGAAGAAGCCAGACATGCCGCGGAGTTGACTTGTTACGTGAGGTGCTCGTCGTCCTGAACTGCTGAGTCTGGCTGACAGCTGTGTCCAGAAGCAACTCCCGTCACCGACTGTCGACTTTGCGATCGAACGAAGGAAGCTTTGATGCATGGATGGTCAATGGGCTGTAATATGTAAATCGAGAGCGCGCAGTATGGGGTTAGCAAGGGCGATAAAGCATGGCGAGCATGGCAGTGGTCTTGACGATGAAGAGTGAAATCTGCCGGTCGGTCTGTCTGTTGTTGCTGGAGCTGGTGCACGGATTGGCGGGGTACGCGCGGGGTCAACGCCAGGGACGATCAATTCACCTCCGCGGATTGGCGCTAAAGTACACCGAAGCTTCGAATAACCATCCGCATTCGTCAACCATTAATGGGCTCCAACACTGACAAGACGTCTCATTGCTCGCATTGATAACGGTGATAAGGGAGCAACGATTGCCCATAAACCCTAGCTGTTTCTCGTGAATGCACAAGTCTGATTGTGCATACGGGAGACGTAAAACCCCCAGACAACAGTCATCTATCTACCGGCATCAATCACAGCCCTTGTTCGGCCAGATTGTAGGTAGATTGTCAAAATCGTATGTCTGACCATCATCATCCGTGAAAACAACCTCTTCCATGACCCCAACCGCAGTTAGTACCGATGCGCAGTGTTCCTTGAAATCTTTGGGCTGAGGGTTTTGGGGAAGGCCATGCACCCCAGCAGCCTTGCTGAGAAGGCAGTCTGCAGAGCAGTGGCAGTTCCCATTGGTTGTCTGCTCACCTACGAGGGCCTCGTCGTTACAAATTTCCCATAGGATGATTTCAATATCGTTGCACTTGCATCCCGAGTCCGCAGATGAATGTCGGAACCAGAAAACATCATCGATGACTCCCATCAGACGAGCGGACTGTTCGTGAGACACCGCAACAACTCCCGAACGGACGGGACCATAAATGGCCAGAACCTGCCCAAAGGGGGCGGCGGATTTGACAGCGGCGACGTTGACCAGAGACTGCAATGTTTCAACACTTTCCGAACATGCTAGGATAGGTATGTGGCGTTTGACAAAATCTATCAGGCGTTGAATGATGACATCTCCTCGAAGGTAAAAGATGACCATCTTTTGCACTGAAGTGTTCGTATGCAACGGAATATAACTTGTGAGATTGACGACCAAAAGGTGCTTCGGCTCCGAAAGCTTCGCCAACCTGAAGAAAATGTTCTGTGATAGGTTTGCGCCTCTTCTGACGAATACACATATGGTTTCGAGAATATGTTCGTAAAGTTGGTGCTCAGCTTGGGCGAGGGTTTGCCCCTCCAACCTGCCGATATTCGAAGGCAATCGCGTCGGTAGCGATGCTATAGAACCTAACAAAATGCTAAAGGATGTTGTAGTGAGGAAACGTGGTTTGAAGCGATGTCCGCCCCAGCACATGCCTTTCAAGTTGACATCGATTGAACCATAGGTGTCCAATGCTGCTCTTACCTCTTGTAGTATGTGCGTTTGGCGAATCCGCCAGATGGCGAAGTCTTCACCAGATTCAGAATTGAGAGGCACACCGGAAAGGTATACCAGGCAACGGGAGAGAAGTATGCCGGATAATTCCTCAACGTGTGTATCGGTGCCGTGAAGCTTATATATAGCTTCGAGACTCAGATAACGCCCGCAATACTCTAGGAACTCTCTTCTGCTACTTGCCCCAGAGACCCTTCGCGAGAATTCATTCTTGAGTTCTCCAGATACTGAAAGCATTTCGCAGCTTCCCAACATTGCTGTCATGCTAGGTGGCAGTTCTGCGCTATCATTGTTTACGTCGGAAATCATTTCCAAGAATTCATCGACCTCATTCCATAGTAAGTACCGGTATCTTGAGGCCGTAAACCCCCGTTCGTTTCCGTATTCTGCAGCAAGTTGAAATCTGTTTGCAAGGCGAGCCGCGGCTAAGGAGCCGGAGATGAGGCGGACTGAAAGCTCGATATCAAACGTCGCTTCGAGACCAAGAATGTCCCGGCCTTCGACAGTGTCTAGCAAGAAGTCCCGAGCGCTACGATGAATGAAGCGTACTGTCCTGTCCCGATCGACGTATCGCTGCAGCTGAAACCGATAGTCGCCGGTCTCGCCTGCACTTTGCGCATGATCGGTGCGAGACACTTCAAGTAGACCAGCACATCCGAGTAGCAAGCACCTCTCTGTTTCTTTGCAGGCTTCTAACAACGTCTGTGGATCGACGATTCCAGGACCCTCGTTCAAGATCCGCTCTCCCCATTCCGTTGCTGAGAGCATGATGTTGACTACGGTATCGGTGTTGAGGTTATGGTTCGCCGTCGAGCTTGCCAAGACAAGTTTGAAATACAAAGCCGCCATCCCGCTGTAGCCAGTCGTATCCTGCATGGCTCGATGCCACATGTCTTTGTAAAGATGATGGATACCTCTTGGTAGGTTATCGACTCTCACACTTATTTGAGGAAGAGAATCGCCTTGTTCAATTCCTCGTATGACGCTGCTGATTGATAAGGCTAGCCAGAGGAAGACGCCCTCCGCTTTGTGAACAAGCTGAACAGCAAACTGCGCGCAAGCCTCGAGGTTGCTTGTGAAGCCAGGCTCTACAGTAATGAAACAAGAGGCCAGTAGATCTACCGTGTATCGTCGAAGGTCTCTTTTAGTGAGGTCTTGTAGGCGAAGATGTGGCAGAGCACCCAGTCGTTTCGACAGCAGTGCCTCAGGTCGACTTGTCAGCAGCATCTTTACTTTGTACTGTGAGCGAAGTCTTTGCAGCAATGCAAGTAGATCGAGGACGCCGTCGTCTGGATGAACTTCGTCGAGCCCATCAAGGACAATCAGAACTGGCCACTGAGAGTGCGATAAGGCCCGCATCAAGGTCTTTTCGATTTCGTTTGGTGACCAATCGCTACAAACACCATCGTGTCTCTTTGATTCCGGATTGTCCGTCGCTAACATGATGGCCCCTAGACAGGAAGAATCCTTTTGTAAGAGCTGCCGAAGAATCGAACATAGCATTCCCTTGATGTTTTGCTGCATTGGACTCCCGGGACGCCAGAAAAAGTGCGATACCAGAATCACATTCGGGCGCCAGATTTGGAGAAGACTCTTTGTCTTTGGATTGTCCAGTATAAATTTGGTCAGCGTAGTTTTTCCAGACCCGGGTTTCCCACTGATCCAATATGCAGGTTCGTTGGACCGAAGCCAGTCTGCGAAGTTGTCCCATGGTTGCTTGTCTGACTCGATTTCAGAAAAGATCCACTCAGAGGTGCCGCTATGAGAGTCGCAAGCCTGGTTTCGCCGCTCATTCATCCCGTGGTATGAGAGACTCTCAATGAAACGATTCCTCCGTTCTGATGTCTCTCTCTCTGATTGCTGAGTGTCTAAGTGCAAGGTGACTTGTGCAGCTGAAGCTTGACCGACCCGGTCAACACGACTGGAGAGTGTTGAATGAGATCTCTCGGTATATTCGACGATCTCGCGGCGGAGCTTCAAACCCTCCTGAGAAATATGCTGTCGCGTCTCGACTCCATCTTGAAGAATGAGATCTGACGCCTGCGTCTTCCCGGATTGGAATTGCTGCAGCAGATGTCGGACGTCTTGAGACAACGTTTCTTGGACGGTTTGTGCGATGTCCATTTTGTCACTACGTGAGATCTTAGTACAAGTTGGGGCTAAGCAAAAACATTGACAAACTTACCAAAGACGAGCAAGAAGCCCACTCTGCATTTGTTTCTCAAGGTCCCTCAGCTGCTTCTCAAACCTATCAAGGCGTCGCCTTCTCCACGTCGTCTTAGCCACCGTCTTCAGCGTCTTGATCAAGTCTCCCTTGGCCTTTTCTGCTAAGAGAAAGTTGATCTCCTCACCAAGATCTCTGGCAACTGCATGACATTTTGCCGCGTTGTCTCTGAGCTGGACTTCGTGCTTTCGTGGTTTTTCTGGCATTTCGATGGCATTGATATGAGTCGCTACATCTCTCAGAGTCACAGCGTACTCAGACAAAGGCGCTTCGATGGATCCTTTCCCATACACATCTCGTACGAGGTTTATCGTGTCGAGGCCGAAGCTGATGACTTGGAAAACGTTGCAGGCTAGACCCAAGGCTGCGGTTGATTCCATGATGACCAAAAAAGGCGGTAGAACAACAAAAAACCTCCGACAAAGAGAACAAAAGGGTTCGACCGAGTTCTTCGAGTTGCCGTCGAGTGAGGTCGGTGAAGACGTGACAGGTACGGATCCGACTAAAAATGGGGTGGCGATAAGTAGAACCAAAATGTCAGCCGACATATCAGACAAATACTACATACAGTCTACAGGTCAGATGCATGCCTGTCACCAGCCTGACTGGCATGCCAAACTCCACACCACGTAAGCCAACCGCCCAGTCAACGCCACAGATGTTACTTTACCATGCAACAGGCAAAGCGTTAGGATACGGTCATATAAACACAGAAAAGACAGTAAAACGGCTTCGGGTTCAGGTCATTAAATCGTTGCAAATGAACGAGCCGTTGCCAGTCTGCATTTATTGTTCAGTCTTGCTCGCCGCTCAACATTTCCTCAGTATTGAGCCTTCAAATACATTGATTAGTCAACTTCGCAGCCATTTTCTCGCGGCGAAAGCTGATGGTTTAGAAACTGTAACGGCGAGGCCCAAAATTGGACGGGCCCTATGAGCAAGCGACGTGATGCGAACCTAGTAGGTATGCGAACCTAGTAGGTATTTCGTCGTGCTGAGGACTAACGTGGTTCGCCATGCTTGATTTTATGACGGTCCAGCGGGCAGTAAAGATGGGAGGACTGTCGAAACTTCACCAATGAGGAAGCTTTTGTCATATTCCTTGACGAAATGGCCAGCCGTTTGGTGATCGATAGGCGTCTGTTTTCTTAGCTTATCTCTGTGTCCTGCTCTGGCCCCTCTCGCAATCTCTTCTCAGCGGTACATCTTCTTTCAATTGCTTCAACCTCTACCGCGCACTGGTGAGGGTCTTGAGAGTCCATCTCGACTTTACTTTGATCTCCGTGGAGCTCCGTAATATCATAAAGAGGGTCTCTCCCATGTAGTTCAAGAGGCCTTTGCCCAGCCGCTAGCTCTGGGCAGTCAGGTTCCGTAGCAGGCTGTTTTCTAGACTGGCGTTTTCTCGTTCGCCGCCTCATGAGCAGAAAGATGACTGCACCGGCTACAGCGGCCGCTAGAATGCTACCACCAACTATACCGCCCATCGCAGCAGGATATAATGAGTTCTGGTGATCTCCCATGCTAGTACTGTTACCGTCGCCACCAGCTCCGTTCCCAAGACCCGGGAGTTCAAGACTGAAAGAAGAACTCATTAAGTCCTCCACGCCCGTGTCGTATTGTACGGATGCAAGATTTCTGCTACCATGTGAGGACTGCTATGACCACAAGCTTTACTAAGAACTTACCCCTCGTTGTACCAAGACTTGACTACGTCTGAAGATTCATACGCAGCCGCCGATGAGTCGTACTCATCTTTCCATTCAAGACTTGTCAAGTCGAGAACTCCTATGCCTTGATTGAATGTATCGGGGTTCTCCATCAGCTTTCCCTGTAAAGAACGCGGTTCAACGCCCCCGACAGTGATCATCTGACGCCTCCCGGCGACAACGCAAGACATGTAAGCCCGGGGTGCCTGCTGCTTGGTATCCGCCTGTATCCAAACAAAACCTGGCAGACTCAGAATCCAGACATCACCGAAACCCACCCGGTTATTGGTCAAACCGCCAAAAAGAAAACTTCACATCATACCTATCAGCTGAAGCCTGAAGAAGGGCTCTCCGTGAAGTCTTCAGACACTTACATATCGTACGTGTTGTCTAGACTCTGCACACCAACTACACAAGCCCACCTGCGTGGCTGAGGCGCTTCCCCGATCGTCTTCTGTGAATACCACCTCTTTGTGACAGGGTCGATAAACCAGACATCTTCCATACTAAGGTTTCCAGGCTCCTGATTCGTAGAATTGTACTCAGCGCCTGCTAATATCATGACCAAACCCTGTGACCCATACCTAGGGATGTAGTGGGCAGTTGCTGCGTAGAGTGTGCCAGATGGGGAGTATGGTGTATCCGTACGGTTCGTCCACGCTGGTAGCCCCGTTGGTGTTGTGTAGTTGAACTGAAGATAGCCCGGGACATACCCGCCAAGTGGCATCTTGGGGTCAATATTAGTCTTCGTTTCCTCGAAGCCTCCAAAATAAAACCCCGAGTCTGGCGTGCTGGCGAATGCTCCACCGTGAGATCGACGAAGGCTGGACAATTCTTGGGAGTATTTATCCTCGACGCTCCAAACCCCGCTGCCATTGCCATCGGCGGTGAATCTCCACAACTGGGTTGGGGATCGAGTGGCGTTGGGAACAAAACCTCCCCAAGTGAAAAATGAATTGGAGTCATATTCCCTGAAGTAATTTTGATTCTTTATTTTCGGGGCATCTTTCCGAATTTCCATCATTTCCACATCAATCGACCTCCACGAATGAGATAGGTCCAGAGATAAGGTGCTGTTAACTGGATTGACTCGATATTAGCCTTTTAGTATGAAGTGCCCCGCTGAGAAGAGTCGACGAACCCCTGCTATTCTGAAATTCGCCTTGATAACGTTGAGATATCTCACCACTATCAATGTATAAATGATTCCCAACAATAAACGCTAAGATAATATCATCATGTCAGTGCTTTGTGACAAACGGGTAAAGGTAGTCCGACAAAATTGTGTTTTTTAGGCAAGACATACATCGGTTTCCGAGTCTTCGGATGAAATTGCTAGGTGCAGGCGCATCAGGCATATCAACTTCCTCGTCTGCATGGCAGAGGATGGCCATGTACCCAACAGCCAACATGGGCGCCTTCCACAGTGACAACGTCATCGTCGGAGGCGGCTATATTGTGAAGGTGGCGATCGATTTTCGTTCGTTCAAAACAGTGATTTGGAGTACGGGCGCGAAGAAGCCAATATCTGCGAGGATGTAACGGAAGCCATGTGGATGGAGTGATTGACACCAATAAGATGCCAGAACCAAGGAAGGAGATACAGGCTTGAAGGCGATATTTATCTTTTGAGTTGCGAAGCGACCAGGTTGGATCTACAAAAGCCATGCCCAAAGAGGTTGAGAGACATATGCTCGAAGTGAGACAGCGTGGCCGTCACCTTTCTTCTCTGAAATTCTTACCCTCGCAGCCGAGGCATTCTGTCTTGCGGATATTGCCTGAAGCTTGGAACTGTGAGTTGGCGAAAGGGAGGTGGCTAGGCCCACAGCGTTAGCTAGAAAGTAGTCAAGTGCTGCATTCCCGGGGCTGGGAAAAAGCCACCCACCTGAGTCACGTAACACACGAAGTCTTCGATTTATCGAAGGTTTTGTGTGTGTCGCCGAGCTCGTAAAACGTGGCCAATGGCATCTGGCCACCATCGGCAACGTATCTGTTCCTTCTTTATAACATCAAGGAGGGAGAGGAAGTAGGATCAAAAAGAGAAAGTCCTGAAGATTATAGCAAGATTTTCTGGGACGCAGAGATGGCAGGCCGTGTCCGCACGCTGCCACATGTATTGAAGTCTTTCCTCAAAACCGGCCTCTGAATGCTTTCTACAAAAGGCGAAACACTTAAGGCACTACGTATATTGATTCGGTATCACCCAGGTGGCTGCAGTAACAGCTGAGGATTGGTCTCATGGGTAGTCGGTATGGTAATCAGCCTTGCCCGCTACACTTGCGCAACATGCGATTATTATTGTTGTGGCAATTGGGCATTGTTAAGCCTTGTTTGTGTGTGCAAATATGGCAGCAAGTTGCCCAGCGTCTCACTGAATTCGGAGGGCGACTGAGACAGATGATCGCGCCCAGGCGCGTTAGTGAAACAAAAGGAAAAGCTGCCAACGCCTTGGCTTTGAATGAACCTCCGAGCAAACCAGATCTCGTTAGTCGCAGCTGTTTCTGCTGCTGATATCGAAATGAATCGGCGCTTTCAGATGTTAGTGCTATTCTTGATTATTGAAGTCTCATCTGTGCCTATTGAGAGTCTCAATTGATTATGACGTCGGCTGAGAAATTGAGAAAGCGCAGAGTTGCGACGAAGAACATTATGGCTCAAAGTTCGGCATCTTGACAGTTGAATTTGTTAAGTGCCAAAGTGCTTAATTCAAGAGGCATGTATCCGTTCCACCTAGCCACTGTAGTTCACCGTAGTGCTGACGAACAGCTGTTCGCACAAAACATGTCACGTCGCAGTAATCGCGTGTACGAAAAGTCTTTTTACATGGAGGAGTTATAAGGACAATGTTTATGAAGGATCCTAGTGACACGCCGCGTGGAGCATTACACGGTGTTACCTCTTACCCTCCAACCCAGGAATCGGCATATCCTCCTTGAGTTTCTTCCCGTTGACAACCGGCATATCCGCAGTTGTAACCACAATGAATAACCTCGCAGTCACTCCGTCGCTTCTATTTCTCCAACCGTGAAGCGTGCCGCGCTGCACAATAACATCCCCACGCTTCAGAATCTGAGTCTCCCCACTATCGAGGAAAAGTTCCAGCTCTCCCTCCACCAGGACACCAGTGTCGATGCTTTCGGTTCGGTGAAGCGGCGCCTCCTGTCCGGGCAAGAAGTCGATGAATCGTGTGGTGAGGCCTCCAGGGTATGCGATACCCACGTTGTTAGGAAGTCTGGACTTGTAGAACTCCATATCGCTACCGTCGGCGAGAGGTGCAGGCAGGGAGGGCGTGGCGTAAGCGAGCCACAGGTCGGCACCCGGGCCGGCGGTCTTTTTGAGCTCTTGCGGGACACTCTTGTCGATCACTGCCTGGCCGGAGGCATTGTGGGTTGTGACGATCCGCCGAGGGGCGGGGAGGGGTTCGTAGGATGGGGCCGCGTCGGAAGACATGTCTTGTTCTGGGTGGACTGGGCAAGGAAAGGACACTGAGATGTGAAGCTGCGACTTTCTTTTTTCAACGACGGACGAGGTTCCCCTTTATACTGGCATGTCGGTAATGACTAGATCTACAGGAGCTATGATTACCAGGGATTCCCGTAGGATGTGCGCTTTCGTTGGGGTTTTGGGGTCTGGGTCCCACGATTTCAAGATTACGTGGGTACTCGGCTGCGGGTTTCGGCCAGGATGTCATGCATCTAGTGCCATTGAGGAATGGTTCTTCGAATTGCATTTTCCGAACGTGCGAATCACGGCCGAATATTGCTGACCTGTTCTCATCTCGGCCCGACAGGATGGTAAAGGCGGTGCGTTTGCAGATTGCAAATGTTCATCTTCAACCTGTCAGCTTACCGCATCGTGAGATGTAGTTAAATCAGAAGAAATGGGATTAACAAGCAGCTGTCAGCTTGACGTTGTGAGAGGAGCATGACTGAGCAACGTTTTATTTTGCGAGCCTGGCAAATAATGAGAAGACACAGTTCCGTGCCATGGCATTTCCTGTATGTTCTGAGCATCACGGATTTGTCTTGAAGCTCAGGCGTGCGGCTGTGGCTATCTTAGCGTTGAGATCGTCTCGGGCCCCGGGGGCCAATAATAGCCTCATGCCGATGCAAGTGCACGGCCTTTGATGTCCGAAGAATACTTATTCAGACATGCGTCAGTGTCAGCATCTGATATCATCATAGCCGGGGCCTAGATCTAGATCCGAAGTTGCTAGAGCACGCGTAACACCCAAGATATCGATCAGTGACAACACGGCCAAACTATTTGTTCTGCTCCAACAGAAGGGGTAAGGCGTAAGACTGTAACGATTTGAAACGGTAGCTTCAGCTTTCTGATTGGACGATTCAAGATTAACGCTACAAGTGATTGATGATTTGAGCAACCAGGGTCTCACATGTCGGGTTGCCGCTGCAGTCTTCTCCTCTGCACCACCTGCTGACAAACTCCGTCTCCAACCAGAGCGATAGGCCTATTCTGTGGGCACAAAGGGGGCCGGGCGAGGATAGAGGTATGTAAAACCGGGCTGTGGTTGGGGCTGCCACCCGGGTCGCAACAACGGGGGGACTCCATTATAAGCTTCGAATGGGTACGGATTTCCCATTCCTTTTTGATTCATGTCGTCGTTGGCTCTAGGCGTTCCCGCAGGAATTGATGGGTGAATTCGCTTCTCTTTGGGCCACGGCCAGATACCCTCAAGTGGCACGTCTTCATAAATCGTGTTGAAATTGTCTTTCGGATTGAATAGACTGTATCCATAGACATGAAACCCCTCTGGGTTGTAGGCCCAGCTGAAGACAAGCTTAGAAGGCTTCAGATCCGTAAGGCGGAATCGAGCGAGTTCGGCCATCTGGCTGGCGCAAACGTGGAGATGAGCAGTCCACTTCATGTCGGGGTCCTTGAAAATGTAGTGGCGTGTATGCTTCCAATCTCCATAGTTAGGCTCCCCGGGACAGACATTCTGCGCGATGCAGCCCGTGCCTTTGATCTCTTGATCCGTGGAGAGATAGAAGCCTTCATGCATGAGCTGGCCAACATCTCGCGCTTGTACATACAGGTTTGCCTCCCACAGTAACGACTTTTGGGTCTCTGCCCATGATTCTTCAACTTGATTGACCCAGAGAAATCGTACGTTGAACTCGGGAATCATTGCGTAGTTCGCGTGTGTGATTCTCAGGCTCTGGTTGACTGGAGGCCTTCCACAGTCATCATCCTTGTTGTTCTGATTGAGGGAACTGTCCATGCAAGCATCTTCGTCTTCTTTAGTGTTCGTGGGGTTATGGCTGGAAAAGAAAGTGCTATCAGGGTGAAAGTAAATGTCGGTCATATTGCTTGGTGAAGTCGGTGTGATCATGCCGGTGGAATAGGACGATTCGTTCATTTCTTGCGACGAGATTGACATGGTAAGAAGAGTAGTGGGAGTTAGGGATGATGTAAAAGAAAAACTAAGCCACATAACGTAGGTGTTCTTCTGTGAGTTTTATAAATCCTCGCTTGAGGGCTAACACTGATATAATTAGAGAGAACCGCAAATTGGTCTGCTTGCCCACAAGGTTGCGCGACCGTTGGAGTGGACTATGAGCTACACAAGGGAAGTTCCTACATAGATTGGCCCACAACGAATTCACGCATCTCTTCCTCCATCAGAATGAGTCCTCGATGCGACGCGTTGCCAGTTCCTTAGTACGCTGCCGATGTTTAAATACCAGGGGGGAGGACATGTCTAGTTGTTTCACTATTAGCCATGTTTTTCGCAATCAAGTGACATTATCATTCTTTCTATCCAGGTGACTACACAGAGTTTCGTGTGACGCCAAAGTCGTAAGCATCCGCAAACTTTTCATCTTTCTCCACATGGAAATGGAATGGCTACCAGCCTGCACTATCAACCGAATCGACGTGGAAAGTTTCGGCTGCTTCCACTTTGTGCACGGTGGGAAGATGCAAATTCGACCCCGTCGGAACCCCTGCGGTCTGGCTTGTGATCCTGAACCAAGACCACAAACTGCTGCGCCGCTGGTCCTCTTGGATCGTCTGGAAGTTCCCCTCTGAGTAAAATGCGTTGTATCTGTAAACGAGCAGGCTCTCACTGTTCATCATAATGCAGTGCGCTATGCGGGCTGTTGTTAAATCAGAGAGAAGAAATTCCGACAAAGGTCGAATGGACCGCGCCATGACGAAAAGATGGGCAGTCCACGCATGCTCTCCGCGAGAATGGCGGAAAATATAGCGCCGTGTATGACGGACTTGGCGATGTTTAAAGGATTCGGGAAACTTGTTCTCAAGCATCACCCCGGTATTGTTAACTTCGGTGATTGGGGAGATGCGAATGCCGTCTCGCATGAGGCGAGACATGCTTTGCGTCTGAATGTACAGCTCCGCGCTCCATTCGACATCTCCCCACGGGAGCCCCTTTGCAGACTCACAGTCGCTGTAGAACGAAATGCGGACGTTGTGAGGCGGGATCTCTGTAGCGCTTGACCTGGCGATTTTCTCTGGCTGTGACTCGCATGAAAGCTGTGACTTGCTGGGATGATTGCCCATTTTGTAGATCTCTTATACAGTCAAAGTTATGCTGATCGGGAAAGGAACGAAAAGTGTAGCGTCAAATCGTAACAAAATAGAGAATTCCGGCTGCCGTGACCTCTGGGCATATATAACACAGAGGGAAATGCTGTGTTATTCGAGGCATCTCTGCAACTTGGCGTCTTACGAATCGCCATTTTCTATCAAGGTACTCGCAATCGATCATCCGTCCTCTGAGTCATATACAAAGTCCTACTTTTCGTTTTGCATAACAATATTGATAGCCACAACTGCGGAGATGACAATAGCCGAAGTAAAGAGAATGAAAACAATCACAACGATATCTGATAGAGTACGATGACATGTATAATAGGTAGCACGTTGGCCAGATAACGACCTTCTTGCTTTCGAAAAGATCCTTGGCTCATTTGACTACCTATGAGCGAGAGGAGACTGGAAGAGCGACTCTGCCCAGCACAGTGCAGTCTCAAATTTACCAGCAAATCGACAAATGCCGTCGAGGGACATACTGCAGTTTTCATCAACGCGATTGTGTGTTGGAGGCTAGCAGTGAAAACGAGAAAGCTAATCGCAACCATGCCAACCTATGCCCGATCCTTGGTGTTCCCTGTGAGCCGTCTTCTGCTCTCTCTGTTTCTCCACCTATTGTATTTGCTCTCGATCCAACTGGGAGTAATCTGGAAGACAGGTATCATACTCCGTCGAATCTGGAGTTAAACGTCCAGAGGCCTCTCCTTCCGAGTGGTCGTCGATGGTTTCTTTGCTGCTCGCCATATCTTCGTTGTCATCCTGCCCACTCTCTCTACATTCTGCGCTTTTGGGCCAAGGCCACAACCCCTCTAGAGGCATGTCCTCAAGCAGCGTATTGAAATTCTCTTCAGGTTTGAAAGCGTCATAGTTGTAGACCGTAAGCCACTCCGGGTTCCAAGCGTAGCCGTGGGCTATGCGATCGGTCGTAAGGCTCTTCAGGCGAAACTCGGCCAGAGCCTCCATCTCATTTGATCCAACAAACACGTGAGCTGTCCATCCAGCTTCCCAATCTGCTAGAATGTAGCGACGGAGATGTTTCCAAGAGTGATCCCCAAAAGCTTGATGGGGTTGGCAGTTCCGGATGATGCAGCCTGATTGTGGCAGCTCGTTTGCTGGAGAGAGGTGGAACCCCTTCTTCATGAGGCTTGAAACTCGGGAGGCTAGCACGACCAAGCGCGCCTCCCATCGCAAGTTTTCCATAGACTCGTAAGATTCGCCTATTTTGTCGTGGAAGATGAAATAAACATTGTACGGTGGTGTTGTAGTTGCATTTTCCTTAGTGACCGTCTCGGTCTGGACGCTGACGGAACAACCCATGTTGAAGTTGCGGTTAAGGCTTCTGCAAGTGGCTAGCGGCTGGAGGGTGATGCGTAGATGTTGAAGGATGAATGCTCGGTAGAGCCTCGATTTTATCTCTACGTGCCTAGTTTGGTGCCTCCGCCCCTCGGCTATTTGAGTTTTACCTCTGCGACTGAACACGGCACGCCCAGTGAGTGTCAAGTGACAGAGAACGAGTTTAAGCCACATAAAATTGCCTAAATTTTAATCCTTGTGATTGGAAGTTCTGCTCTACTTATTTTGAGTATTCGTCGCCCTCGACTTCCATCTCTCACTGTACCTGAAGAAGCCAGCCATCACCTTCCTTACCCTTCGCGCTGTCACCGCCCCAGAAGATGAGACTCTTCCCGCTTGCGGAGCCAGCGCCGAAGAAACCACGCGGACCCGGATGGGCCTTTCCCTCTGTCTTTACTTCCTCCGTTGGCACGAGCTCCACCTCGGCCCAGCTGAACTCGCCCGACTCTACGCGAGGCAGCTTGTCGCGGATCGCGTCCTTCACAGCTGCCGCGGTAAAGCCGTGGGTTGGAAGTTGCACTGCCCAAATATCGCTGTGGTAGTCCTTCTCGCCCGATCTTTCTTCCTTGCCAAACATGTAGATGAGATAGTGGCGGCCAACTCCGGTGTCGATAGGCAGCAGTGCGCCACCTTCACGGGGGCGAGGTCCAGGGACCAGAGGGTTGGTGGGGAAGTTGACCGTCTTCCAGACCAATGCCTCCGGCTTCTCGCGGTCCGTGGCGTTGGACTTGAGGTCCATGTAGTGAATAGCTCCACTCATATCGGAATCCGTGCCGATGGTGTACAGGACATTGTCCACAAAGGCAGCTGCAGTAGGTGCTTCCGGGGCAGCTGGCAATTCCGTCCAAGCCAGTGTGTCGAAGTTGTACAGCCAGGTCTCCGTGCTGGCCTTCTGATTCGCGGCAGTACGCCCACCGTGGAGGACCAGAATATCTTGGGCGTGATCGAAGAAAATGTGATGATCAAATCTGGGTGTGAGCGTCTTGCCGATCTGGCTCGCTCCCTGGATTTTGGTCCACTTCAAGCTCTCCGAGTCCCATAGCCACAAGCAGGTCTCCTCAATGGGCTTTCCGTTGGCATCAGCACCGCCGTGAATGATTGCAAATTGACCGCGAGCACATGCCGCGTGTTTCGTCCGTGGGGCAGGGATGTAAGTCTTGCCAGTCTCTACATCCTGCATGGCAAAGGCGGGGTAGCAGGCGTACGCCGCCACGGGCTCGCCGTTGGTCACGGCTGGAAGAGACAAGACGTGAAAATCGGTAGTGCACAATTGGCCATCGGCCGTCTCTCCGCCGAATATACAGGCCTTGTGATTGATGACGGTGACTGAGTGATGAGAGCGTGCCAGAGAGAGGCTGTGTTGTTTGTTAGGAGTGGTTATAACAATGGCAATGCTGAACTTACGAGGCATCATCGGTGGGGGTGGTGGCGATCTGAGAAAGAGAAACCTTCAAAGGCTGCGTCGGACGCGCGACGGCAACAGCAGCTCCTGCCTCGAGGCTGGTTGAGACGACCTGCTCAGCGACAACCGCCCCAGCTACTGCCTCTGCCATGGCTGTTGTATGTCGTGGTGGATTGAGTGGGTGAGTATTGGTGAATGTTTGGGGTTTCGGATGTTGTTTGTAGGTGATGAAGGCGGCTGAATTGAAAGTGAAGATTACGAATTCGGCAAGAATAAGGTAGGTAGATGTTGTCAGCAGATGAAGTCGGACCAGTTTTGGCAGTGGGTGAGGCTGGGATGATCTGCGTCTGATTGTCAGGAACGACGGGCGAGAACGTTGAATGACGTAGCTCTGTCGGCGTAATTATGGTATGACGTCACGTGTCTGGGCCCAACACTCCTCCCTTGCGAGAAAAGAGCCCTCCTTTTGCGCGATTGTTTTTGAAAATCACAAAGAAAACGGTGGGATTCATCACTAAAGCGTTCAATTCAACCGTCGTTAGCCAACAGACGAACTCCGACAAGGATGGAGGCCGTCGCGGGCCGAAGCGTGGTGTGTTGGCTGGCTAGTCAGTTGCCCACCAATATGGCCAGGCTTTTGGGACGCTGCTCTGAGCCCTCAACCTGTAGGCAACTGAAAGCTCAGGCATTCAACAACATTTACAAGTTTTCAGCGTCCTCCTCTTTGCGGCGCTCATGCATTCAGTGCCATCTTAAGAACGTCAACCTCTAGCTGGCCCTGGGCCCCGCTCGAAACTCAATCGAGTAGGCGTCTAGATCCCGTTGCAAAGGTCATCAAGAACGGGAATTCGAAGGCACCTGTCGTTTCCGGAAACGTCGTTGGTAGAGGAGAAGCGGCGTCAGTTCGCATCATTGGGCACATTCGCCGGACTGCCACGGTCGACCGGAGCTCGCCAACTGGCTAAAGCGGGCGGGGCCCACACGTTTCGGGCAAGCCCCGGCCTCGGCCCCGGCCCCGATTGGGGTCCGGGGCTAGCTTGCGAACAAGAAAGAGGATGGCACACCAGATCCAGGGGCCTTATCTGAAGGCCAGGCTGAGACCCAAAGCTGAACAGAATCGTCGGCTGTTGCATCCATAGTTAATTGCGATGCTCCTTTAACAGGGGGGGCAAGCAGAAGGCTGCGACCCCTGCGCGCTAAAAGACGAACTCCGATTGGCCTATCACGGTCAACAGCTAGGTTGCGTGCACCAACAAAGCAGCAGATTCCTGCAACTCCATGGGGCTGAGACTGGGTTTTCCAGGATGAAGAGCAGCTGTGCCGCAATTTGGTGGCTATAGTCCCATCTCTGCAGCTCTGCCGCATTCTTCGGCTCTCTTGAACATATTTTGACACAACGCCCGCCTGTTCTGAGGTTTCTGCACTTCAGACAATTCCCCTCTTGCATTGCTAGAAAAAGCAACACCCCGCGATGCGGCAGACCATCCACGAGTCCGAGGCCAGCATGACCGTCTCTACGGCCGGGTCACCGAAAGAAGTGGGCTTCTGGGAGAAGTGGATCATCCCGCTCTATCTGATCATCACCACCGCTTTGAGTTCTGTCTTGATCGTTGCCCACTCTCTGAAGTGGACGGTCAACGGATCTTGGTACGAATCCTCCTTCGCGACGATCACATCTAAGCGCGCAGTCATTCAGTCTGGGATTCAGCTCCTTGCGGCGCTTCTTGCTCTCATTCACACCTCAACAGTCGCCGTCCTCATTCAGCATGGCTCCAGACTGGCCTTCTTCAACTCGGGTGGTTCAACGACACAAAACCTGAAAGGATGGATGAACTTGGGAATTCCACGCTTACGATGGGATCTACGGCTTCGATTTCTCCTACCAATAATTGCATTTTCCGGCCTCGGTCTGATATCCTCAGCTCTGTGGGTTGGCGCAATGACGCCTGTTAGCAGCACTATCGTGGAGCAGGAGATCCTGCGAGTCCCTTCGTTCAAAAACACCACCCTCATCAAAGAATACCCGTCCGAAATTTCACGCGCAGGCCCATCGACCACAACAAAGCAAGGACTTTTCACTTACTCTGTTGGAGTCAAACTGCTGGGTAGTCTCATTGCTTCAGGGTCGTCAGCAACAACCTCCGATGGATCAGTCCGTAGACACGCGAAAATCGACAACACCCAGTACATTTATGAAGGTCGCTCCTACGGTGTTGGATCATCAGTAGGCATTCAAGATACTGCCATCACCAACAGGACCTCGGCGGTAAATTACTCATTTCATGAGGACGGCTACTTGCCGCAAGTCCAGTGCTCCTACAACCGAAGCATGGACTTCGTCATCGGCCGAGAATTCCCTTCCAGGATATTCGGGGTTTCAGGATGGCTTCCCGACAGCGTCGGAAGTCAACAGTACTCCGAGTACGTCGGACACAGCACCGATGCCATCGTCGCGGTTGGTGTGGCACATAGCCCTGAGTCAATTCGTCGCTACGTTTCCATTGCAGCAGGCAAAAGCTACCTCGCCCTGAACGCTACCCAGTGCACCGTTGACTTCACACCTACTCGGTTTAACGTCTCTGTCGGCATTCGCGGCCGAAACATCACAGTCATTCCAGAAGGCCAGATCGACGACTTCGATTCGCAGCGCAACCTCACGCGGACTGTTGTTCGTCAATTCGAGCTCATTTCGAATGACTTGACAAACTTCTATGAGTCCATCCTAGGCAACGCATTCCTATCGAGTATCACCGCATGGAACATATCCTCCAACGAGAACGGCACTGTCCCAGAAGCCGAAGCAACGCTACGTGGACTGGAAAACGCCGTTACTGCAATGACAGAGTCGATGTTTGCTGCATACGGAGCAGCGCAGCTGATGGTCGGGAATTTCTCCGAAGAAAGGGAAGCAAACGTAACAATTGGAGTGTTTGTTATCGGAGAAATTGTCTACGTGGTTGCGATCGCCATTCTCAACGCACTTGTGCTCTTGGCTGTTGTGGTAGAGACCATCCGGACCAGGGGATGGAAGGGCCTGCCGCCTTTTGACTTTTCCGACCCTGAATGGTTGATCACAGCGTCATTCCGAGGTGGCGAGCTGTCTCACACATGGAACCGAGATGCTGAAGGAATCTTGGTGGCTCAAAGCCCTATAAAGGGACCTGTTTCATTTTACACGCCCATAGATCAACGCGGCGACGAAGATCAACATCATGTTGAAGTGATTTCGGAAGGAGAAGGCGGGCGCAGAGTTGCTTTGATGCTGCAAAGTCGCTGATTTGTACAAGCTATGTACTTCGTCCATTAGATTATCTACTTCCAACTAGCTTGTTCAGCAGCAGCATGCAATACCGATTATATATGTCTAATGTTGAACCTAACAGAAAACTCTTTGACATCGTATCCCTTAAGCTTGACAGTTCTTACGTCGACTAAAACCGAAATCCGGTATCGTTGGGTTCCGAGCCCTGCTGTGATAGAGTCATCAAACGAATCAGCTTTGAAACCCTCTGAGATCATGGCATGCCAGTGATCTTCCTCCTCTTCACGATTAATATGACGAAGGAATGCTTGAATCCCAATATCCGTTGTGTCTGATCTTGATGGGGATGCATCCAGTAGCAAGATTCTAGGCCTCCCACTGCTTTGGATATGTCTCCGGTCGCAGAGCATCCATAGCTCAAGTTGAGTCGGCTGAAGATTTACAACCAACTTCAAAGCCTGGACCTGTGTCGAAAATCGAGGGGCGAAAAGAAGCCGACTACAAATATCCCACGATGTCCTTGGTAGAATACGACTGATCTTGATACGCTTATCTATAGGTACGTGCACACTTTTGTGTCTCCCCCAAAGCGTGCTGTCGGGCCTGCGGTACGAAAGTTGGTCCTCAACTATAATGAATGAGGGCTGGTACTCTGTCAGATGGTCGAGCTTGTATGACATCAAAGCCATGGGCAAATTGCAATCTCGCCGAAAAAGGTCCGGCTGGACCTTTTCGAGAAAGATGCCGCAACGGTGAGTTGAAGTGCCAATATCCAGGCGGAGAACGTATCGAATAATTGCTCCGTTATCCTCTTCTGGTAGCAATATAGGTTTGGGTACAATGGCGAGGCCTAAAATACCATGGGGACAAGGTCTCTGGATATCTTTGTCTGACGGGATCGCAACCATGCAAAGATTCCTTCCCATAAAGCGAGGGCCTCTGCTGGTCAGTTCCATCCCAACATCATAATTTCGAAAGCGTGTAATTGCTTGCGTTTTTTCATGACCGGCGAAGTCCGCTGGAGATGACGCGAATGCCACTGAAGTTCGGGAGTGGAGGGGTCTGCGAGAATCCCATGCAAGTAATGAGGTATCGTCGTCCTTTTTGCAAATCTCCTCCTGTAGTCGTCGAAATGCTTTCGGACCTTCTCCGTAGAGCATTGGCATGTTGATGTCGAAGATTCCTAATAACGAATATGCCACATCCTCCTTTCGTCTCGTGCTTCTTGTAGCCGCCCAAGCCATCCGCGTCGCTACGGGGATGTCCCACAGGGGTGTCTTGCCAAGCAGCACGTCGCAGAGAATTCCCGTGATGTCTGAGATGATCTCGACCAAGGATTCTTTCGTACCCAACAGATTCCAGTCCTGATCATAAAACCGCACTTCAGCGGGAGCGAGCAATTCCTGAAGTGTCCAGCCTCTGGTAAACCATCGGCAGTTACGAAGGTGCTTCTCCAAGGATCGTGTGCGGGGCATGTCTGCCAAGTATGCGTAGCAGGCTTGCGCATCATGGTAATATCTGAACATGGAATTGATCGATTCCGAAAGGTCCGCGCTGCTCGTTTTGTCAATGCAGCAGGTGTCTACCCAAGCATAGTCAACTCCACGAGCTCGAGCTAGGCGACATATTTCCTCGATTTTCTCGAACCCCTTCATGTTCTGGGCGACATCGATGTCTTGAAAGTCTTGAAAGCTGACTTCCTCCTCATCCCAAGTATGAGATAGGATGACATAGTTGGGGATCTCTTCGTCAAAGACCTCTTCTATTTTCAGTGTTCTCACATCGATCAGCTTCATCATCGACGTTGACCATTGATGAAGAGCTGCAGCTGGAATCTAATTAGTACGCGTCAACAAGATCCTGGAGGTTGAAAGAGGCTGGAATTAATTTTGGGCCCCAAAATTGGAGATAAGAAATAGCCTAACCTCTTAGTCTGACTATTCTTACTGCATGTGTGAGCTGGCGTGCATGAAGTGCCGCATGACCACCACAAGGAAAGCCGGAGATAAGCCGAGATCCTTACCAAAACTAGTACTGCAATTTTATTCGTTCATTATTTAATACTGCTAGACACCGTCTTTGAGGGTATGCTTTTGCTGAGGCCCAATTTGATCCTGCAGCAAAGCCAGATATCAGATCTCATTCTGCCGCGTTCTTATGTACTGCCCCAGTTCAACCTGCCAGCCGATTGCCGTAATTCTTCGGCCACAGGTAGTCACAATACAGGTATGTAGCTGAAAAACGCCGCCATCGAGAAAGCCCAATAAAAACAAAACTCGACTTGGTATTTATCGGGATGGAGACGATATGTCTTGATGTTGCTCCAATGTTGCTCCTTCATGTAGCTACCTCAGTCTTGCCTCTTGTGACACAACGGCTCAACTACAACGCTTCTACTTCAATTTGCACCCCGGCTGTTCTTAGACGATCAGCCAGAGGCTGTCCCAACGTTGCTGGCGTCAGAATCCCGCCTCCCAATTTGTGTGCGACACAATCCTCCCCAGAGTCGAGTAAAATCATAGCTGCCTCAACCGCCATCATGCCCGAAAACACGTAGGAGTCGCCGTTGTATCTCAACCTCGCCTGCACTCCTCTTTGGAGAAGAGGATTCCTTTGGAAATCCTGCGCATCTTCTTTCAGGTCTGCGATGGCAACGCCGCGATACTCAATGAAATTCTTCTGTCTTTCTTGCTCACTCGGTCCAGAGCCTGGAGGTACGAGCAGCTTTATCAACCATTTCACGGGCGGAAGAATGGCCGGGAGAATGGTCATAACCCAAACAAGAACCCAAAAAGCCCAACCGTGCACTACAGACGGGTATCGCTGAACGCTCCTGAAGTCGAAATTCGGACCGTATGATGTGGATGTAAGGCCGCTATGTTCTGCCTGCTGCAGCAAACCCCATGTTCGTTGAACAATTGCTTGGTCATGCGTTCCCGTCATACCAAATCCGAGCGTACCAAGTTTAAGTCGCTCGATAATGTCTTTGCTGACGTTTCTGCTCTCATCAGCTTGGGGTCTCGCAGAACGGATAGGCGATAATGCCCAAGGCTTTCCGGCTTTCAGAATGTTTCTTAAGCCGTATGATGAGACAGAAGTTACTAAGCCATTCAATGTGCCACCGCTTGCTTGTACTCTCGAGTCATGGACTGATATTAGACCAGCCGATGTTGGGCAGTCGAATGTCTCCTTGACCTTTTCAACCATGAGGCACGTGAGAAGGTCGGCAGGCAGACTGCCGACTCCACATGAAGGTATCATCTTTGAACCGGCCATCAGTATTTAGGCATCTTATCTGAGTGCGTGTCATAATTCTAGAGGAAGGTCTTACCATGGCCCCCGTTGACTTGGCAGTGTCTTCATAGGCTTTGATCATTTCCAGTACGGAAGGAGTCTCGCCGTTACTGGTATGATGTTAGAGAATATTGGTTTAAGGCCATAAAATGTTCTGAACTCACATATCAACATAATGAGTCCCGTTCTCCGCACAGCTTTTGAACACCCAGACACCATGCTGGGGAAAAGGGCCCACCGTCGCAACCAAACATCGGGTCTGCCTAGCCAGAGCGTCAAGCGATTGGGTCGTGAATTCGACGGGAATGACGTCTTCAAGATTCAGGGATCAGCGTGAGTTCACGCCAAAAGAATTAATTTGGCGAATTGACGGTTCTAACCTGGGTTCTGAGAAGTCTTCAGTCTCAGTTCTTCGGCCAACTTAGTCAATTTCGCCCCAGAACGACCTGCGATGGCCCACTTCAGATCACGATCATTTTCCGCGAGGTGCATCGCAGCGAAGCGACCTGTAAATCCTGTTGCTCCGAGAAGAACAACGTCGTACTCGCGATCTGAATTCTTGGTAAAACGAGCCATGATGCCGGCATCGATCGAGTTCATTACTCCATCTATGCAAAAGCGTTCGGAGGTCGTCTATACGATGGGTTGGCAGTATTTAAACGCATGAAGAAGAGCCACGTCTAGAAACAGACAGTTCCTCCGCAGACCGATTATCCTTTGAAATCGTCGCACTCGGAGATATATAGCAATAGTAATTCATTGGTATTCAGTCGGACGAATTCATGGCCCAGATCTGACTCCACAACTTTTCTCTGAGTCTGCTTCTGTGAAGTTCATCTGTCTGTCAAGATGGCGGCGGCGGACAGACAGAGAGGGCCGTCCAAAGTACCTCCGCTCGTCTTTCCTTTTTGTTGGACTAGAAACCGTCGGACATTGAGCCAAATTCCGCTTATGGCGCGTTTCATTCGTCAAAAGTACCGAAGGATTTCCGTCGGTGCAACTGGTTCATCCGCCCATCCGTACGAAAGTGAACGCCCTTCAAACGAGTATTCGCAGCTGAAATAGACTACCAGAAGTCTGTAGGTGAGTAGATGGCATTGTGCACGAAGCGACGGCAATGACCATGACGATGGAATGGTGCAGCGATACAGACTTTTGAACAAAAAGCTCATAAAGTATAAGTCCCGGAGACAACTCCCTATGATAGCACGAATGAGTACAGCATGGTTCTGTCGCATGATGAAACCCTCGGAGTCGTCTCTGCTTTGCCGGCCGATGCCGGAAGCTCTCCGATAAAAACCCCGACGCCGGAACCGGATGAGATGGAGACCACGGCGATGCAACCAAGTGGCGTCACTCCGTTTGAGCTGAGAATCCGACTGCCGAGCCGACTGCCAGATCAGCACCGCTGAGACACACTGCGGAAGACACGGGGGCCGTGGCCTCTTTTGCAAGCCAGATTTCCGGACATTCTCTCCGGTTACCATCGAAGTCGCTTCGGAATCACCATTGCCACTCTCAGGCAAAGTCAATTCCGTTCTCATACTCTTTAAACCTGTCAGACGTATCAAGATAAGATCGGACCAAATAAACGTGAAGCGCTTAAAATTTCCCGGAGGCGAAACGATCATGTGCAGATTGCGGGGTCCCATCTCCAACCAAGTCGTATCCAAGAATTGCGTGCTTAACCCCCAAGATAGCAACATCGCGCAGCCACCATTTCTAATCAGCACCGTCCTTGAGGCCGCTTCATGCCACCATTCGAGTTGCTGACTTCGATATGAATGGCGTCATTTCCCCTCCATCCACAGGACCCGATACCTCCATCTTTCGTCTCATGTACCCCAAGAAGCCAATGGACTGTAGTTTTGTAGCCATAGATCGGGGCCGCGTCGGCTGAATATTGTTTTCTTTGGACGGTCGGGCAGACAACGCAATCCAATCCCTGCCAGCATGCAATTCTTCTGGTTTAGTGCCCCTCATCGGATGAGCTCCGACAGTCATGCCTTTTGGAGGAGTAATCTATATAAGAGCAATCGGACACTTTCCATCAAGCCGCCCTTCTCATAGACAGTACAGCGTTGAGAACAAGTGCAATCATACGCATAATCAGACAAAATGGCACCTTCAGCAACATCGACGTCCACCGTGACGGACCCGGCTAACTTGCCGGTGAACAACCTCCGCTTGTACGCTGACGGCTCTGGCGACTACAAGGAGCTGTCTCCTGTTGTTTACGACAAGGAGGCCGAGTCCAAGGGAGGAGATGGCCATGAGGGCGCCAAGGTTCGTTCTTTCGAGGACCCCATTTCAGCATTCAGCGACTGATCTGTATGATGTAGTATCCTCACTACCTCCCCACGTGGAACCCCGAGCAGAAATACCCCCCTCTGCAACCATTCCAGCATGTAGAACACGGAAAGAACGCAGACCCCAGTTTCCCCAACCTTCTCCCCAAGAGTGAGGCTCAGGTCACTGACCTGACGCCCACCATCGGTTCTGAGGTCAGGGGCATCCAGCTGAGCAAGCTCAGCGACGCCGGAAAGGACGAGTTGGCTCGCTACGTTGCCGAGCGCAAGGTCGTTGCTTTCCGCGGCCAGGACTTTGCCGACCTTCCCATCGACAAGGCCCTCGAGTTCGGCGGTTACTTCGGTCGCCATCACATCCACCCTACCTCTGGATCTCCTGAGGGCTTCCCTGAGATTCACCTGGTTCACCGCGCGGCAGGTGACCGATCAGCGGAGCAGTTCTTCGCCACCAGAACCAGCTCCATTGCCTGGCACTCCGATGTCTCTTATGAGGCCCAGCCTCCCGGTACCACCTTCCTGTACATCCTCGACAAGCCCGAGACTGGAGGCGACACTCTCTTCTGCGACGCCGTTGAGGCCTACAGGCGTCTGAGCCCGCTGTTCCAAGAGAGACTACACGGCCTGCAGGCGGTGCACTCCGGTATCGAGCAGGTCGCTGCCTCTGTGAAGAAGGGCAGCATCAAGCGCCGCGAGCCTGTTGCCAACACCCACCCTCTTGTCCGCACACATCCGGCTACTGGCGAGAAGGCGCTCTACATCAACCCTCAGTGTAAGTCGATACTGAAGACGCCAAAATGCATATGCTGATTCAAAAATAGTCACCCGAGAGATCGTCGGTTTGAAGAAGGAAGAGTCCGACGCTCTTCTTAAGTTTTTGTACGAGCACATTGCTTGGGGCGCAGACTTCCACGCCCGTGTCAAGTGGGAGGAAGGCACCGTTGTCGTTTGGGACAACAGAGTCACTCAGCACTCTGCGCTCGTTGACTGGAACAATGGCTCCCGAAGGCACCTTGCCAGAATCACTCCTCAGGCCGAGAGGCCATACGAGACCCCATTCAAGGGTTAGGTTTTGAGGATGAGTGAGGCTGCGTAAATAACAAGACCAGCGAGGTCATCAAGGGACCATCTGAACCAAGAATGGTGGTGTGTCCGCAGTAAAACACTGCAACAATTATTATGGAGAGACCTGAATCATGATGAATGCCAATTTTACGATTTCTGATAATCTGACCCCCGACTTTTAATCTCTTGATTTCACCTGAGGAGTGTTTTCGTTCCTATTTTGCCACAACAGGCTCAACGATCTCAAGTTGAGAGAGTCACGGTGAAAGGGGTAATTCGAAGACCCTTTCCCATGCAGTCGGGTCGTCTGTCAGTGGCACAGGCCATGTTGCATACCCATTCCCCTGGGAACGACTGTTTCCAACATCGGAATAGCTTACTCTACACGACTTGCCGAACTGAAGCTATTTTAGAACTTTGTCTCCCTGCGCAAGCCACTGATAAGATCCAGACTTGCATCGAACCTTCGGTGACATGGGCAGAAGACAAAGACTAAAGGCTAAGATAAGCCTGAGATAGTAGCAGCGTAGGCTGGACTTCGAGACGTCCGCGCTGCGCCAGGGTGGGCTGTCCATTTGGCTGTTGTCTGATTGGTCGGTTCTTCGACATCGCGCATATTTCTCTGTCGCAATCCCATGGCTAAGATCACGCAATGCCGTTCCCATCCCTTTTTCGTTAACAAAACGTGCCGGCTTGCATGCAACCCACATCAAATGCGAAGAGCCAAGAGTTTGGGTCTGGATTATCCTCGTCTTTCGACGAACTATCCACAGGAGGCAATTCATTCGCCATCTTACCAAGACAGCACTAGCAGAATTTCCCCAGTCGGCATATGCGCCGTCCCACGAATGAGCCCCCCAATGGTCCCAGACGGGATTCCTTCCGCTTAACTGAGCCCTTCGTAAGCTTGTTTGTTAGTCTTCGGCTGCTCCATTACCTGTCACTGATCATTCCCGAAAGCTGGAACCACTCCGGATCCTACTCGACCCCCCCACGGGCCCGTTACGAGTCGTTGACCATTGATGCACAGCGCAATTCCGTGAAGCAATTGCACCATAGATAAGACGGCTCATTCGCTGAACAACTCGAATCGCTTATGGTGCGATCGCCCTGGATCATCGCGACACTGCGGCCTGTATTTTCTCCTCTGCACCCCTGCCATCCGACGTCAAGCCGGAGAGTTGAGATGAATTACGCGTAGAGACCAATGCCCAGATTGCCGGGTTCATGGAGGGCATCTATAAAGGTTCTTGCATCTCCGCGGAACCATACCAAACTGCCGGGATTGCGAGGTTGTGATGCATCTGTCGAGGCTCTAATAACATCTGCAAGGACTGACACAACTGTAACAATTCCCGTTGTTCAGAGTTGCCGGTCATTCAGCCATGGCTTCTACCAACACTGGAGGGCCCTTCAAGGACCATCCCGAGGAGACCAAAGACGTTAGCACCTCCCAGTCGCAGGCCACGGACGCGTCAGTGTCATCGGTGAGGGAAGTGTCCGACAATGCGTACGGCTCAACGGATGAGCATGTTTTCTCCGACCCCAGTATCGCTGAATACTGGCGCAAGGTGTACGAGAAGGCTCAGTACGAGAACCGACACCGTTTCGATCCGAGCTACCAATGGTCGGCAGAGGAAGAGAAGAAGCTGGTCAGAAAGGTACGGTTGACTCACCTGTTGATTACGGGACAAAATGGATTCGAATTGATGCTAACTCGAATGTGTGTAGATCGACAAGCGCATCATGGTTTGGGCTTGGGTCATGTTTTGCGCCCTGGATCTCCATCGTCGTAATATCAACCGAGCGATTTCTGACAACATGGTATGTATGCCCATGGGAAGAGAATTGGATACGAATGCCAACTAACCTGTTCAAAAGCTTCCGGAACTCGGCATGAACACGAACGATTACAACTATGGCCAGACGGTTAGTTCACCCAAAACATTCTGGAACACAATTAGACTCACACTCGGGGGTAGATTTTCCTTCTGACGTTCCTCTCCGCGGAGTTGCCCAGTGGGCTCATCAGCAAGAAGCTCGGTGCCGACAGGTGGATCCCAACCATTATGGTGGGTTGGTCTATCACGGCTGGCTGCCAGGCTTTCTTGTCGAGTCGCGCTGGCTTCTATGCCATCAAAGCCCTTCTTGGCCTGTTGATGGGCGGTTTCATCCCGTGAGTGGCCGTTCGATATCGAGGATTGT